TGATTTGACTTCCTGCTAAGACCATTTTTCATGCTCATCACTCGTACCGAACTTAGATATCAATAGAGCTCATCCTACAGTTACTTGCAAACTGTTGAGAAGATAAAATAGCGTGTTGCATTGGAGTCTTTCGGTGCAGCTAACAAAAGGTTTTTTGCTATCTTAACCTGTTATGGCCTTCCTTGCGATCTCGCAACTTTCCTTTGAAGTAATGTGAAAGCAACTCCTGAGCTGTATATGGTGAAACTTGGGCTTTTCTCCTTTCGTACACTTTGATTTGTCTTTTGTAACTCAGGGTCCTAATTTTGAAATATCTTGCAATACAAGGAAGTACAACTTTTAACTACATACGCAGTCATGATAATCCTTTTAACTTTTAATATTAGATTGATAGGAACAAACCTTTACACGATCCTCAACAAGACCTAATCCGATACTCAAAACTTTTTACTACATACGTAGTCATGATAATCCTTTAAGACCAGGCCACCACCCTTACTCGACATTTATCAATATTTTATGAGTCATGTTGCGAAAGACAAAATTAGAATATACTTCACAAACAGGTAAAAATAAAAAGAGACAAATACTCTTAAAGATTATATGAGTATTGATTTTTATTTCTTATTCTTAATTAATATTATTTTAAATTAAATAATTATATTAATTAAAAGAGTTAATAAAAAAGAATAAAATTTCAGACATATTTTAATATTTTTTAATTAAAAAATAATTGTATCCAAAATATTAAAAACGAGTGTTATATTTCAACTGTACTCTTATAAATTAGTTATAATTTATACCGGAAAAACTCTTTCTTTATCTCCCTTTTGATTTATTATCAGTGTTATTTTCTTAATTTATTTTCTTTTTCTCTTCAACCACACTGTGTTTACTGTTTAGGATCTTCTCTCTCTCACACGCACAAAAAAAAAAAAAAAAAAAAAGGAAAACAAACATTCCCGAGCGTGGGGATCTCAGATTCATCATTAATTCCAAACTTATGAGGTTCTTCTCCACTCGTACTCCAATTTTGATGTAATGATTGCTTAAAACAATATGACAAACTCGGCAGGGCCACTTCCAGCTGGCCTCTCTTTCCCACCCAAACTCAACCCACTTACCTCCCGCCACGTGGCCGTCATCGGCGCCGGCGCCGCCGGTCTCGTCGCTGCCCGTGAGCTGGGCCGCGAGGGCCACAGAGTGGTGCTCTTCGAGCGCGGAGACCAAGTGGGTGGCACCTGGGTCTACACTCCCAAGGTCGAGTCCGACCCACTTGGGCTCGACCCACGTCGAACCATGGTCTGCTCGAGCCTCTACAAGTCCCTCCGCACCAACCTCCCCAGAGAGGTCATGGGTTTCCGAGACTTCCCATTTGTGGCCAAAAACGACGACGTTGAGAGAGACCCAAGAAGGTTTCCGGGTCACAGAGAGGTTTTGATGTATTTGAAGGACTTTGCGGAGGAGTTTGGGATTGAGAAATTGGTAAGGTTTCAGACTCAGGTGGTTTATGTTGGTGTGGTGGAGAGTGGGAATAAGTGGAAAGTGAGGTCAAAGAAGAGATCAGGTGATAATGAGGTAGAGTTGGATGAGATTTTTGATGCTGTTGTTGTCTGTAATGGGCACTTTTCAGAACCCCGTATTGCTGAAATTCCTGGTAAATGTTTGCATAAATGTCGATATCACTTATAGTTCCCGTGGATTGTTTGTGGTCTGATTTGGTTTTGAAGATTTCGGACTTAGATGGATTCTGACTTATTTTTTAGATGGCTCTTCTCGGGGAATTTGAATGATTGTTTTGCTTAGATGAGGGGTCAATATTTGCAGAATGTTTGCTGATTTATTTGTCAGTCCTTTTATTTTCGGCTTTTTTTTTCCTTCTCCCCATGAATTGATGCTTTTGAGGCAATACTTCCAAGGTTGCAGATTGTATTGCACTGCTTTCTTTCTCTCTGTGAACTGAAATGGTATTGAAGCTTGTTACGGTGTTAGCTTTTGATGAATTCTGATATTTTTACGCTGGGATATTGACTTAATATTATGTTAGTCTTGCTCAGTTATCAATTTGGAAATTAGATGAAAAACTTCATTTGCTTCTAGTTTACTTAAGTAATGAATATTCCAGTCCTTTGCTTTTTATGTATTTATCTTCTTGCAGGGATCGAGACTTGGCCGGGGAAACAAATTCATAGCCATAATTATCGCGAGCCTGAGCCATTTCAAGATCAGGTCTCTTGAGTATTCTGCATTCTGTTATTACTTGTGTAAACTGTGTTGTGTTTTTGGGTTGCATTACTTTCCTAATACTTAGATCAAGAAACTTCTAACTTTGCTTTAGATGTGCAATGTGTTGAGATGTTCCATGAGGGAGTGAATCACATGCCTCTTTAGTCAGCATCGGTGTCTGGGTTTCAAAATGAATTGAAATTCTGATTGTACATGTCAAACAAAGCATCCTTTAGTGAAGGATTGATGACAACAGTTCATCACGAAGGACAGGACTAACTGAGCCTGATGACTAACTAATAGTATGATAAGAACAGAGTAATTACTTCAACAGAAATGAATCAAGAAGAATGAAAGTGTGATCTTTATTGAATCTCTAAAATGAATTACAGAGCAGTCCTTCGAGGTACTGCGAGATCTCCCCTGCTTAGCCTAAGCTAAGACTTTCTCAACAAGACTCCAGTTCTTTCCTATCTTTCTATTTCCTGCTTCATCCCTATTTATTCTCTTTCCCTCCCCTTCTATCCGACTAATCCCCTGTACATCCCCTCCTTAACCGACTATTCCCCTATACTTCTAACTACTAACAACTAACTACTAACTCAGCCCAACAACCACTTATTCTCTCTTACCTTTCCTAACAAAAACCTGCTTAAGCAAAGGCTTATTAGGCTTATCATAGTACTATTAGAGAAAACGCCAATATAAGAGAAAAGAATTGTCTCTTCTGTATGCTTCCCCTAGTTCTGTGTAGCTTTACACAACCGATCAAATTGTGCTAAGCAAATGGAGTTCATGACTTGGCTTCTTATCCATTTCCTGCTTTTTGCAGGTTGTAATTTTGATAGGGAGTTCAGCAAGTGCTGTTGATATTTCCCGAGAAATAGCTGGAGCTGCCAAAGAAGTCCATGTAGCATCTAGATCCATTGTTGATGAAAACATTGGAAAGCAACCTGGCTATGATAATATGTGGCTTCATCCAATGGTATTAATTCTCATCGATCACTAAATTTGGTGCTATTATGGGAAGTTTTTCAAGGGAACCTTTTGCCTGCCCCTGATGCTGGGCAGTATCCGTGACTTAAAATGCTAATGATATCCAAAGCTAATGCAGATCAAAAGCGCTCATGAAGATGGTAGCGTGATATTCCAGGATGGGAGTGTCATCGTCGCCGATGTCATTCTTCATTGCACAGGGTAATCTGTCTTTACTAATCATCTTGTGACGAGTCATTTGATGCTAAGCTTTTCTTTATCTCTAAGTCTCTATAGCAAGTGAAACAAATTATAATACTGAAGGTTAACTTTCATTTATCTTCTTCAAGGTACAAATATTATTTCCCTTTCCTTGAAACCAATGGCATTGTGACCATGGATGACAATCGCGTCGGGCCGTTGTATAAGCATGTTTTCCCTCCAGCCTTGGCTCCATGGCTTTCATTTGTTGGGTTACCATGGAAGGTACAACTCTTCTAAATGGTTTAAGATATATTCCAATATTTGAATGGATCTTTGGTCGAAGATGATAATGAACCTTTACATCAATTGCTGCCAGGTTATTCCTTTTCCCTTGTGGGAACTTCAGAGCCAATGGATAGCAGGCCTTCTGTCTGATAGGATCACGCTTCCATCAGAAGAGGAGATGATGGCGGATGTTAATGCATTTTACTCTACGCTTGAAGTTTCCTGCAAGCCAAAGCGGTACACTCATCAAATGCCGGGTTTAAGTCAGGTAAAACAGATTCAGATTCTAATGCTTCTTTATGTATCCAACAGTTGGTTTATCCTTTCTATCATGTACATTTCATGTAATGTTTGGTATGCATAACCAGTAGCTTTTAGCCAAAGGTGAGAAATCTATTTGAAACATTATTTGATCCCTTTATTCTCGATTTTGCTAGTTGCTAAGGCCAGAAATACTCTTTTGAATGCCTTGTCTGCAGTTTGAGTATGATGATTGGCTTGCGGTTCAATGCGGTTTTTTGGTGTCTGAAGGATGGAGGAAAGAGATGTATGCTTACGCTTCCAAGAGAAAGCGTACTCACCCAGAGACATACAGGGACGATTGGGATGATGAGGACTTGATATTACAAGCCCACCATGACTTTGCAAAATACCTCCCAAATGGAATCAATGGTTATTAAACAAGTTATTTTTTCATTCATCAATTTGTCTAGGAGTGGTAATTATTTCCTTTCTTTGTGAACTCTTCCAACTCTTGATTAATAAGATTTGGTCTCGGGTTTTTCGATGAAAAATCGAAAATAAATATTACTAAATAATCTCGCTGATACCTCCTTTTATTTTTGGAGGTGATTAAGCATATATGTACTTCATAATCTTTTCATGTTCGTTCTCTGGAATGAAGAAAAGAATCAATAAAGCAGATCTGATCCTGTTTTGATTAATTGGAGATTTGAACCTGTTCATGATGTAACAATTTAGAGAATAAACTCTTGAATTAATATGAGGAATTAAACCCCTAATTCTCAATGTGCTATAAATTTCCTTGATTTGAGAGGAAAATTGACGCTCATTTTCTGAATATAATTGCCTTATGATTGTCTTCGCGTTGTTCTTATTACTTTTTCTTAACTTGTTTGTGTTCTTCGTGTGCTCATCAATTTCCTTAGATTACTTGTTTATTCAATCCGAATTGTTAGTTTAGGGACATTGGTAAAGTGTTAGACGAAATCTTGCTCTAACAATATATGTTACCATAATTTATTGAGAAATTGTTAAGTAGGCTAAGTGTACCCCATCATTTTATTTATGTAGTATACCCGTTAAACGAAAAAATAACAATTGGATAGTTTGTCTTATTTTAGTAATGGGATAAAATTATTTTAGTACTCTCTGTTATAGTGAAACATCTTACTGATACCTTACGTTTATAATAATATTAAAATAGTACATTCACTTTAAAAAAAAAATGTTCTTTCAATACCCTGAGATGGGTTTTTAGGACACATATCCGAGTGCCATTTTTATTAATTAAATAGAAACTAATATCTTTAAAAATATTTTCAAATAACATTTTAACTTATTTTGATTTTTAAACATTTTTAAATATTTTCAGAAATTTTCTAAAAAATTATTAATTTATTGTTAATTAGTGAGGAGAGAGTGAACACTTTGTCTCAAGTTATTAAAAAAAATATTTTTTTAAAGAAGAAAGTATCATTTTAATATTATTAAAAAATATAAAGTACATATGTTTTACTATAATAGAGGATATCACAATAATTTTTTTCCTTTAATATGTTTACTTAGGCTTCTTTTTAAAAAAGAGAAGCATCAGTGTAAGAAGCTGACATGGTTGAAATGTCTAAATTGTACATTTTTATTGAATGTATCTACACATAAGTAAAATGTTGGGTACACTTGTCTATTCAATAATTTCTCGGCCAATTTACATTAGTATTACATTGTCAGATTCAGTGTCAGTAATTCACTAACTTTTGTTTTGGCTTTATTCAATAATGCTATCATCAGACTTACTCTTAAGCACTTCCAACTCATTTTAATATCGATCAGACAATCACACACGATTGATTTCTCCCTCCCTGGGTGCCCGATCACATTTTCCAAAATAACCGATTTCAACAGCCTTAACTATGACAAAGATCACAACCCCAGATCAAGCCTCACCTCGTCCACTCATCTCCCGCCACGTGGCCGTCATCGGCGCCGGCGCCGCCCGCGAGCTGGTCCGAGAAGGCCACGGAGTGGTGGTCTTCGAGCGCGGAGACCAAGTTGGTGGCACCTGGGTCTACAATCCAACGGTCGAGTCGGACCCACTTGGGCTCGACCGTTCCACTCGAGTCTCTACGAGTCCCTCCTTACGGTCCTCCCCAGAGAGCTAATGGGCTTCCAAGACTTCCCATTTGTGGTTAAAGAAGACGACGATGAGAGAGACCCAAGAAGTTTCCCGGGTCACAGAGAAGTTTTGATGTATTTCAAGGACTTTGCGAAGGAGTTTGGGGTTGAGGAATTGGTGAGGTTTCAAACTCAGGTGGTTTATGTTGGTATGGTGGAGAGTGGGAATAAGTGGAAAGTGACGTCAAAGAAGAGATCAGGTGATAATCAGGTTGAAGTTAATGATGTTTTCGATGCTGCGGTCGTATGTGTTGGGCACTACTCAGAGCCTCGTCTTGCTGATATTCCTGGTATTTGTGTTGGTTTAATTTTGTTGTTTAAACATTTGGTATTAAATATATGTGTGTGTGGTGTTTCATTGGTTATTCAAATATTTATGCATCGCTGTGATGGTCATAACAACTTGAATAGTCAATAAAAAAAAAAAATTATCTCAGTTAATAAGCATTAAATTTAGAGGAATCGTAGTAATATTTCTAATTAATGTTTAAAGTTATTGATTAATTTGCTATAGCAATTTTTTTGTTTTGTTTTTAAATTAAATTTGTTATTTGTTATAATAGCAAATTGTATAAACACGACATCATCTAATCAAATTAAGGTGTGTATTTATTTTTATAATTTTTCGGTAATCATCGATGGAAACGTATTATACTATTTCTAGGCCTATGATGGTAAACCTTTCAGTCATTATTTTTTAATTTTTATTCTTATATATATATATATATATATATGTTCTTGTAGGCATTGATGCTTGGCCGGGGAAGGAAATTCATAGCCATAGTTATCGTATTCCGGGGCCATTCCAAGATCGGGTTTGTTAAATGTTTCCATACTTCTGTAAATTGTATGGCATTGTATTTCTCATATAGGAACTAGAATAAATATACGGTGAGAAGTTGTATCAACTTTAGAGCTTTGGAATGACTTTGAAATATATAATTCAACATGTTAGAACAAATATGAGTTCTAATTAAAAATAAAAAATAAAAAGCCAAGCATTAATTGAGATCCCCGATAATTTGTTAATTTGTATGCTTCTTTTTTTTTTTTTTTTTTGTTAATTTGTTACTTTGTATGGTTCTCTTTCCTTCTTAGTTCTTTTCATTCACTCCATAGTTTTAAGCTCTTTTTTTTCTTTTTTTTTTTTCATGACATGTTTTTCTTAGGTTGTGGTTTTGATAGGGTTTGGTACAAATGCCACTGATATTTCCCGAGACATAGCCGGAGTTGCGAAAGAAGTCCACGTGGCATATAAATCAATTTCTCACGAAAAAATTGGAAAGCAGCTTGGCTATGTTAATATTTGGCTTCACTCTATGGTGATAAATATCTCACTGGAATTTCAAATTTGGAATATGGTATTAATTTAAGGCAATTAAAATACTAATCATGTATAAACTAATATTAACTGCAGATCAAAAGCGTCCATGACGATGGTAGTGTCGTTTTCCATGATGAAAGTGTCGTCTTTGCGGACGTCATTATTCACTGCACTGGGTATATCTACTCTCTAAAATATGGCCTATTAATTTGGTTTGATCAAGAACCCTGTTTCTCCGTAGAAAGTAAAAAATAGAGAGATTAGAGATTAGCTCGTTTTTAAATCTGTTTAGATGGACAATCTTAAAATATTTTTATTTTTTTTAAATACTTTTTGAATAAGTCATTCCCTTAGTGCTTATGAAAAACTTTTTGATTTACATTTTTAATCTTTTATTTATTAACAACAAATTAAATATCTCATCCATATCCTTTTATTATATTACTTTTTATAACAATAAGTATTTTTAACTTTTTTACTCAAACAGATTTAAAAGCTCTTATTAGATATAAAAGTACTTTTTCAAATACTATCTAAACACTAATAAAAAAATCTCAATTTATACTTATCTTCTTTTACTACTTAAAAACACAAGCACAAGCTATTTCAAACAAGGTAACAATAAAAGCCAACTTTCATTAATTTTCTCCTTAATTAAGGTACAAGTACCATTTCCCTTTTCTTGAAACCAATGGCATTGTGACCGTGGACGACAATCGAGTGGGCCCATTGTACAAGCACGTCTTCCCACCTGCGCTGGCTCCATGGCTTTCCTTTGTTGGGATACCTATGAAGGTAACATTCAAAATCTGCTTTAAAAACATTAGAATGCTTCATAGGTTTTGCATTTAATGGTGGAGTAATTTGCATATAGCCTAATTGTCTAAACTTTTTAGGTGTGATCTTGTTACTTGCAAATTGATTCTAAACTTTTAGTTTTAGCATTTAGGACTTTAAAGTTGACAATTATTTGCATTACAGTCCAATAAGGACTATTAATTAACGGATTATACATAATAAGGGTCCCAAATATCAAAATTTCAAATTTTACGTACGATCCGTTTCAGGTGCATTTTCTTATGTAAATCATGTGACATTCTGTGCACTAATTGACATCAGTTAGCTATTAGACTACAATTACAACAAACTTTCAAATTTAGGTTTTCATTTACCAAAATTGGAAATTTTAGCTCCAAGTAATTGCCAAACACCTCCAAGTACTCAAGGTTTTTACCAATGCAAGAAAACCCATAATGATTTTTTTTTTTTTTTTTTTTTTTTTTTTTTTTGCAGATTATTCCTTTTCCAACATGGGAACTTCAAAGCAAGTGGATAGCGGGTATTTTGTCTAATCCGATTACAGTTCCTTCGGAAGAGGACATGATGAAGGACATTAATTCTTATTACTCTATGCTTGAAGTTTCTTGCACACCTAAAAGATACGCCCACAATATATCTAATTCTCGGGTAAAAATGTTTCCGTTTCTAATGCTTTATTGATTTATTCTGTCTTCTCTTTTGCCAAAAGATTATTATTTTCTATATCACTAAAGAAAAATATTTCAAGGTTAAGCAAAACATAAAAAAATAAAAGTATTTCAAAGATGCCACTACTTTTGATTATTTTCTTTTATGTCATTATCACATCAGGTTATTCTAATAATTAATAGAATCGTCAAGAGTTTTTCTTCTTTCTTCGTTTGGAACTTCATATGCTTTCCATTTATTTTTCTTCGCGTTATTTTATAATTATACTAGGCTAGATTTCTTCTTGGTTAAGGGTGATGTTGAAACCCTAGACATGGAATTTATGTTTGGATGATTTGATATTGTTTCCAATTTCTCAATAGAAATCGTTTATATTCTTCCAATTTAATTGTTCATGATTATTTTTTTATTTTATTTGGGTGCGCAACCAATTAGGATATGAAAATTATCTATTGCTAGGTTAGGAATTCTTGATCCGTAATTGTCTTGAGTTTCTAATTATCGATAGCGAATTGTGATCAATAATTGTAGGAGGCTTTTGTTTGATTATATGTGGAACATAACCTAGGTTGAATATTCTGAGCTTGTGTGTTTATTACCTAGATCAACCTATCTTTCTCAACTTCATGCTTCCTTTGGATTGAATCTAGATAGCTTGTTCTAGGTTGTTTAAGGGAAAGAGAATTAATAAAGAACTTGTTTTATTTAACGACAAACTAAGAAAAGATTGAGATAGCATAGCTTATTGTTATCTACGGTTGATGGTTTCTGTAGGAAGTTAGGAAT